TCGAACCAAGTGCCAATTGTTTCAAACGCCAAATCGTTATCTACCAGACCACGTGAGCTACCTCTTGTGCAACAGGTCATATTAATTTAACTGAATTCTAGATTTTCCCGTCGATTGATTGGATCGAAGTGCTCGGTCTCAGGTTGACATGTCGGCTTCTTGTGCAGATGCTTCGACGATGTCGATGGGAAAATCTAAACTGAATTAAATAATTAATAAGACCCGTTGCACAAAAGGTAGCTCTCATGACCCAGGTGGTCTGGTGAATAACGATTTGGCGTTTAAAACTATCGGCATTGGGTCCGAGCCTCAGTGGGGACATCATCACTCACTGGGGAATTCAAGTATGTCCAACTGACGGGTCCCAAATGGGACGAAATGCGCCTCCTGGATTCCACTGCTGGTCATCATCTATCCATTGACTTCAAGCTACACCACTTAAAGTTTAAAGTATTACGAAAGAAGACATAAAGGCGATAGAACAGCTGGATGAAAATTAGGGAGGAATTTCAATATCTGAAAGATGAAAAGAAGAGAATAAATATGTACCATTGTCAGCAGTTTTGATCCACTTCGCCAGCAGTCTACTAGCATTGATTCTTAGCATTTCACAGATTCTACTCTGGTTATGAACACAAGAATACTTGGTAAGAATCAACAGATAATGACGTCATACACTGGTACCATATTTTGATCTAACTAATCGTCTAGGGAGGCGGTGGCTTTGTGTGGATGACACGTACGGTAGCCATCTTATTGGTTGAAGATTCTTTATCTTATCGACTAATTTACCTTCCTTACTTCACATTCTTCATCTAGTCTTAAGATTATTTACGATCTCGCTTCGTTTAACTTCAACTACTTAACAAAGGCAGCTGCGATTTAAGCTGTAGTCTTTTCATGTCTTCTATATTCACCAACTATGTCCTCGCATCTGTAAACTCCAAGAGAAAGAACTGTTGTTAGCCAAATACATATTTTGATGGATAACCGGATATCACACTTGTGCCTAAAATTATGTGATTTGACAATTCTCACACAGGTCTTTACCATTCTGGTTGTGATTTCGACAACTACCATTCCTTTAAAGCTGAAGCAATTCTCTAAATAAACGAAGTTGTCATAATGCATACAGTTCCTTGAAATACTGCTTTAACAAGTAAATGACATCAAATTTATGTAGCAGTTTTGATGTAGTTCTCATGGAGAATGGAGAAAAACTGTCGTTGATCAAGAGAATCGTCTACTTAATGAAAGAAGTGCTGATGATGCCACCATGAATTGTGATGGAAAGTCTTTGATGATAAACAAAGTTATCAAGATGTTATCTTGAATGCCATAAAGTTATATTTGCTTTTTTGGCAACCCTGCAATTAGTTTCCACGAATTTTATAGATTTTGTACACAGTTCTCCTACGTTATGCAAAAGGGTGCTCAAGAAATACTCCTATGCAAAATATTCCATTTGACTAAAGAGAATTTATTCACTGGGGCCTTATAATCACACTGGAACCAGGATAATGTTTGTTACACAATCTTGCTACTTATAAGTTATGGCTAGTATTAAAAATTTTTGAAAAATAATTGAAAGGTAGAAGGAAACATTTCAAAAATGCCTTAAGCTTTTGCTCTACACACACCATGAACATATAAAATAGAATCCCAAAGTACTATTTATAGTTGGAAATAGATTATATGCAACACTACAAATGTGAAACATCTGGTTAGACAAATATGATTTAGAAAACTAACAATATACAAGGAATTATTGAATTGAATTTTTGATTTTCCCGCCGATTGATTGGACCGAAGTGCTCGGTCTCAGGTTGACATGTCGGCTTCTTGTGCAGATGCTTCGACGATGTCTGGGTATTTAATTAGTATACAATTGGTGGATGGTGGCTAGCAGTGGAATCCAGGATGCGCATTTCGTCCTATTTGGGACTCGTCAGCTGGATGTACCTGCATTTCTCAGTGAGTGATGATATTCCCACCGAGGCTCGAACCCAGTACCCATAGTTTCAAACGCCAAAGCGTTATCCACTAGACCACTTGGGCCACGAGAGCCACCTCTTGTGCAACGGGTCATATTAATTATTGAATTGAATTTTTGATTTTCCCGTTGATTGATTGGACCGAAGTGCTCGGTCTCAGGTTGACATGTCGGCTTCTTGTGCAGATGCCTCGACCTGAGAACGAGCACTTCGGTCCAATCAATCGACGGGAAAATCAAAAATTCAATTCAATAATTAATATGACCCGTTGCACAAGAGGTGGCTCTCGTGGCCCAAGTGGTCTAGTGGATAACGCTTTGGCGTTTGAAACTATGGGTACTGGGTTCGAGCCTCGGTGGGAATATCATCACTCACTGAGAAATGCAGGTACATCCAGCTGACGAGTCCCAAATAGGACGAAATGCGCATCCTGGATTCCACTGCTAGCCACCGTCCACCAATTGAATATACAAGGAAATTTATAACTGGAAGTAAATATAGCGAGAATATTCACTCAGACATCTATAAAAAACAAAACAACTGAGCAAAGAATATCCTTTTCGATAGTATCCTCTTCTGGCACATTATATATATGTATGTTTATATACAGGGAATATTCTAGAATAATAGTCAAAAAGCAATATCAGTGTTTTTTCAAATAATATCGATTCTTTAAGTAAGATCAATGGATTTACATTTCATTAAAGATGCTAAAATTATATTAATAATATAACAGTAAATAGAATATCAACCGAAATTAAGGAAATTTCTACGAAAATCCGAGGACCATTCGAATCTAGAGGGTCAAGGTAAGGATAATGTCTGAACTAACTTCTTTTGGATGCATAAGTTAGTCTTCTTAATGCGGATCCCAACGGCCTACGTAATATTTAGTAGACGAACTCATAAGGCGAAGTTGAAATTAGTTGGTATGCGGTAAACAACTTTGAAAGCCTCGTTGACACCAATCTTGTGTTGTGTATCCACAAGATGAGATAGAAAGATAACGCTACAAATAGATTATGTTTGTCCTTTACTTGACCACCCAGGATGATCGGAAATCCGATGAGGAACACGCCTAATTGTACGGCCTATGTAACTGGCTCCACAGGAGCAGTTAAATAGGTAGATACCCATGGAAGAGGCGAAAATAGGCACTAAATCTTTTACTCTCAAACTCAAAAGAAGAGAGGTTCTGAAGACACAGAGTAATTCAGCAGCAATGAATGCTCTTTTTACCACATTTCTAAGGCGCTGTGTTAGCATCTCGCTGATGTTATCCCCGAGGAACTGAACTTGTAAAAATAAAGCCTTTTTGGGGACTTTTGGTACCTTAGGTTACCTTGATTTTAGATTCATATTCTTATCAATAATTTTTTCACTCAGTAACCGTTTAATATTATTAAGTTCCTGATCAAGACATTCATCAGAGCAGATTGCTCTTGCTCTGTGGACCAAGGACTTTATCAGATTGCATTTGTATTTCAAGGGCACGAGGCTGAAAAAAATGAGTATACTGACCCGTTGATGTAGGTCTTCTATATATACTTCTTCTTATTGTGCAATCCTCTTTTCTGGTTATAAGGACGTCTAGAAATGAAATACTAGAGTCTTGTTCTTTCTCAATAGTAAAATTTATTGCATGATAAACATCTTGCAATTTATCCAGGATGTTCTTTGCTTCATCCTCACTTTTCATAATCGAAAATGTAACATCCATGTACCGACAACAGAATTCAAGCTCATCAATTACATCTTTCAAAGGCCCATTTTCTAATTTCTCAAAGAAAATGTCGGCTAGAATGGGTCCTAGTGGTAACCCCATCGCCACACCATCGATTTGTCTGATATAAAACAAGCTAAACTATTTAACTTAAATAGTTGACTGTGCTGCGTTTAACAAGTACTATAGTTAAGTGGAAACAGAGAAAGAGATTGATCACTGAATTCCTGTTCATCGAATCTGTGACAAACACATGCAATAGCGAATAGCAGTACCAATAAAAATTAAATGATGAGATAATGGGACTATATGACGGAAATCTGAAAGTTTTGTGAGCATCCTGGTATGATTATGAGCAATAGATTTTGCCAGAAGTGCTATTACTTAATAAATGATAGTGCATCAGTTTTGTGAACGTGGTTACACCAGATTTTGGTTTTCCCTTAATCTTACTTCAACATACAAATATATACCACTGGTTACTTAATTACTATTCCTACACCGACACAGAAATCAAAGACTCACTGAGAAATCAAAGATATTTTGGTATAGCTGTGGTCTCTGAGCTGGATGGTTCACTTGCGAGGCTTTGTCTGACATAATAGGCAACATCCTCAGAGCACACTTCAATCTGAACTGAGCTTTTAAATGAGTTTATTAGTCATCTTTCCTGGTGACCTTGATCCTTGAACACACAAAAACAACCAAACACGTTCACGGTTACCAGGATAGATGACTAATAAACTCGTGAAGAAATCTAAAAGCTTACTTCAAATTAAAGTATGCGTTGATGATGTTGCTTATTAGGTCAGACAAAGCCTCGCAAGTGAACCATCCAGCTCAGAGGACACAACTACACCGAAATCATCCCCTGAGCTACAAATCTTCTCAATTATATCCAAAGCAAAGAAATATTGCTTCAAGGGAAGGAGATACAATAAATAATATACAAATAAATCTCATGATAGCTAGTGACTGGCTACAGGACTAAGTTGTCTAGAGTTCTATTGAGAAGTTTCGTCGACCAGTGACATCCATCAGGTCGGATATGAGGTCAAGTACTCGGTGATGACATTGGCTGGTGGCCTTTCTAAAACCGCGAAATGATAGGAGGCAGTATTCATAGGCTACTGGATTTTAGATCAAGCAGCTGGTCAACAAGCTTACCTCATAACCTGAAGGTGGTGGATTCGACTCTCGGTAGATTCGTGGGTTTGTACTGATGAAGAGTCTCGAATTAGGACGAACAGATATTTTCAACGGTCCTCTGATTGACATCAATCCGTGATCAAACTTAAAATAAATCAAATCCTTGGACAAACAAACAAACTCTTGTAAGATACTACAATTGAATTATGAATAAATTTCGATACGAGTACAATAAATAGTGTTCGAAAATGATAGAAAACCAAAATTTGTAAATAAACTTATATGATGATCGGTATTTAATGAGATAAACACTAAGCATTTAAAACAATTACACAATTTGAATAGATCTGTTGGATGAAAGCTGAAGAAATAAAATTGTCTAAATAAAATGAGACGAAATTATTACCATGTTTCTATCCATCTCACATGATTCCACAATGCACATTGTTATGTTAACAAATATAAAATTCAAGAAATGTATATATAAATATTCCTCAATTTCACTTTTTCTTCTTCTGTTTGCCTTTACCACTTTTCTTTCCACTTTTACTTTTCCCACTTTTCTTAGCACTTTTCTTATCATTTGCTTTTGCATGTTTATCAATTTCTCTTTGTATAGCAAACTGTGGAATAAGTGGAACTGTACGCATTTGTACAAGATGTTCAACTTTAGGCAAATCACCATTGGCAGCATTCAATAAAGTCTGTATAATAAAAGTAATGCGGGATATTTGAAAATATTTTGTTGTGAATGAACTAAAAATAGCAATTGTCAAACAAATGGATTTGTTTTCAATTTGTTGAATGTATCTAAGTTTTTGTTGACTTAGAGGCTTATTTTATCACAATATAAGTCAGAAATCTAATGAAAGTCAAGTAGTTTAAAGCTGTTCAGCAGTTTTTACTCATAATGCCCTCCTGAAATAGGATTAAGAGTAGTCATTTATCGTATGAGCAGATACCGTTTGAATATATTAGTCACAATTCATTAGTCATTGTATTTCAACTCATTGACCTATTATTAATGTATCCACCTCATAAAGGAACTCTCTTGATCTCAATCCACAGCGTACGAAATACTGAAGAATTTGAGACTATAACACAAGGGTTATTCAATGTTCCATGGCTTTCAGCAGTTCCCTTAGTCATTTCAGATTTAGTCTAATTTCCATTAAAGAATATGGGGTACTAAATGGATATATATATATATATATATATATATATATATATATATATAACTATGGTTCACTGACCCCGGTTGTATTAATTATTTTTGAAATATCTGTTCGTCAACTAGTAACAGCATCTTGAGATTCTTTCAAACTTTACATCATGGAAAGTTATGAAGGACGCGTAATTCTGTTCAGATATCAAGACATCTAACTCCTAGAAGAAAGTACTGAAAACTGAAGTAGTGTTTCAGCTAAGTACTTCAGTTGCTTCTTGTTTCTGTTATATGAAGTTGTTATGTGACTAACTTCCATGAAGTCAGCTGAACAGAGTTTTGAGTTTAGAAAGCTTCACCAAATGTTAAATCACAATAGACAATCACATAGCTGTGGTGCTACGATAAACTAACATGACAAGTTTTCCAAGTAATCTTCATCGATAACTGCTAAACATCTATCAGAATATAAGGACGTATTGGATGAATATTTCCTTCTCATTTACGCCTGTTTAACATTGCCACTTCGCGAAGGTCAGTGAGACAAAGAGACCGAATTAATTACTTCCTATGGATGAGCATATCGCTAGAACCATATGGACAGAATACTTATTCCATACAGCTCAGTTTTCACTACTAATTCTACAAATGATACTGATTGAAACTAAGGATACAATCAGTGAACTTTTAACCTACTTCCCAGCTAGATATTTGAAATGTGATTGATGCAGTCTATTTCTCATTTTGCATTAAAATACGTTTCTTCGCAAAAATCACCTTTTTAGTGCATATTTTAAAAACTTCGATTGGGGGAGATCATGAGTTTGGAACCATACCCGCGTAGTCCTGTGACGAAAGTTAATCACTCGGTAAAAATTCATCAAAAAATAGACAACCTGTTTATTCTAGGCAAGAAATTTACTACTAAGCATGGAAAATCTTTGAAAACTATCTTGTGTTCACCCTAAAACTAATTATTTATTATAATATGTAACCAACCAACCAACAATAACAAAAACAGCAACATCCAGCGCCAATCACCATCAACGGGAGAGATTTGAAAGAGGTTACTTCATTCACTTACTTATCTAGGGAGCATTGTCTCAACTACAGGCAGTCGGAACGGACGAGGATATTAAATCGAGTGAGAATCGGGAAGGCGAGAAACACATTCATCAACCTAAAACCAATCTGGAAATCTTCGTCACTCAGCCAGCATCAACAATAAAATTCGGTCGGATTTTCAATACAAACAACGTCAAGTCAGTTCTTCTATACGGATCGGATGAGAAACTTGGCGGGCAGGTCACAAAGAATATTTCCAACAGGCTATTGCAGACCTTTATCAACAACTAACTGTCTTCGCTCTATACTGAAGATCAGATGGCAGGGCCGGAGAGAACCACCAACAAGAAACTATGGGGAGAAACAAAACAAGAACCATTCTCCCAACAAATATGCAGGAGAAAGTGGAGATGGATTAGACACTCGCTGAGGAGACCGCTGGGTGACATCCCGCCTCAGGCCATTGCTCGAGTGGAACCCGAAAGGGGAGTGGCGAGTGGGTCGTCCAAGGGTGATATGGAGGAGATCATGTGAAGAGAAGTTGAAAGAGTATGGACTAACATGGATGCAAGTGAAAAGTACAGCAGAAGGAAGACAGAAGCAAGTGAAGGCGTGCAGTTGAAACCCTATGTTCCACTAGGAACCCAAGGGAACAATAATAATATAATAAATTTATTTCATCCCTTTGATTTCTAAGTAGAACAGAAGGCTTCAAACTTTAAACTTTGAAGTTTCAGTAGCAGTAGTTTTATTCCTTGTGTCTTACGGAGTAGGTTTGTCAGTGTCACGGCCTACCTTCTCTCTTTAGCTACCTTAATACCATCTAAGCGATGTTTATGACTGTATCGGCTGCGGATTAAATCTCGAACCACCTGCGTAGATGGCAAGCATTCTACTGCTGAAGCACAGGTTCTGTAACATACGATATTGTCCCTTCAGGTTGGAAATTTGGTAAAATGTAGATCCTTCCTAAGACATTGAGTATAATTGATATGTGAATTTCTCTCACTGAGTGTAAAATGATGCTGCGGTACTGGTCAGCACTAGTTCATAGTGTAAGGATAAGAAGTCCTTGTGGTTAATTGTGTTTATCACTAACAGTGTGGTTGCAGAATAAATCTCAATCAATGATACAAAAATCTCACTTGACATTTTCTGAGCTATGTCACCACTAGCATCAAAAGGACATGTGTACTGTACAGAAGCTTACTCCATCCTACCTTAAGTCTGAGATATGATTACTCTAGGTGGAAGATTTCAAAAGATTAGCGATTTTCATTCGTAGATGCTTTCACTCAATCTCTTGTGTTATATGAAGCGATTTGGTTAGTAATAGTGGGGGTAGGTGTAGGGTGTTATGCAAGGAGGAAGAGTCAGTCGATTAGGTTATGATGCTTAGTTGACTGAGTGGGCTAGGATATATGTTACGCGTTGTAAGCAAACACCAACCAAGGCGATCAGTGTCAACTGAATTCAAATTAAGCTATAAAATTGTTAGAGATGGTCAGACTAAAATTGACACCAATCCATAAATTCTTCGACTACTTTATTGGTTGGCGGCACTTGTCTGTCTGTTTTCGACATAGAACTTTGTACCGATGTGCGGCAGTTCAAGTCGCCACACTCCATGTAGCACACAAAGCAAGAGAAGAAAGTAGAAGAAATGCATAATAGAGACAGTAAACAGAGGTGTTAGACAAAGGAAGAGTAATAACGAAGAACAATATAGTTTTATTGGAAATCATAATTCACAAAGAGTGGATGCATCTGCGCCACAGAACAATTTTGAGCCATATCACCAACTGTCTCCAACCATCGGTTTTTACCGTCCCGAGGACCCCAACCAGTCAGGAAGTCTACACCTTCCTACGTGGCTGACTTAAACTAACTGTTGTGGATTTCATTGACTGATGCCATGTTTTTGTTTGACCGCCGCTAGCTCTTTTCTAGCCTGACCCTATGTCTATTAACATTGCCCATTGTCGAGGAAGGCGATGACTAAGCATACGTAACACATGTCCTAACCATCTTAGTCGATGTAGTTCCACAGCCTCGTCGATTGATTTCCCCTCCTTACCTAGCACTCGACGCCCAACCTCAATATTGCCCACTTTATTATACCACTTCAAACGGGAGATAGAACGCAGGCACCTACGATCAAAACCAGCTAATATTTTCATGTCTTCCACTCTCAATGGCCATGTCTCACTGACAGCCATAAAGGAGGACTGAGCGGACTGATGAGCAATACACACGCCCTATAGTCGATAACCTGATATCACGTCTACGCCAGAGACGGCGTAAACTGGCATATGCGAAACTGCCCTCTGTATCCGTGCTGAGATTTCGTTAGAGATCAACGCGTTGGGGCTGATGGCACTTACTTATTGAAATGGTGTAAGAGAATCATTTCAACTGATATACTGCACGGTAAGAGATTAATTATCTGGTGTAATATGACTGTAAGCAATAAACTGTGCTCAAAAGGTAACCAGTGAATAGATAATTCTATGTTACCTTATGGAATATCCTTTTATGAAATGATACACTGCCTTAAACACTGAGTTTTATTTCTCCATAAATAAATTTAAATTCACCTGGAGACTTACTCGACTAGTTAGTCAGTAGTTATGAATACTAACAGAGAATTAACAAGTCTACGCACTATTTCAGCTAACCAAGAAAATGCTTGAGTAACCTAAGATTCTAAGTAAAATCGTTTGAAAACATTAACATTTGCTGTAAACTTACTTCAGAAGTCTAGTAAATAGGAGAACGATTGCTTCAAAATAAAAAAATAATAATAAAATTGTTGATGGAATATCGAAAGTGTGACGACAACAACAACAATTATTGGGACTTACATTCCAAGTTTCTGAATTATAAACAGCTAAATCAATAGGTTTAACACCACTAAGGCATTCATGATTGATATTAGCTCCGGACATTAGTAGAAACTTCACTACTCTTACATGATTTCCTGTGAAGTTATTCGATAAAGTAAGTAAAAAAAAAAGTGTAATCACCTTTTGCAGCTAAATGTAATGGTGTTGTTCCATTTGAATCGCATATATTCACATTAGCTTTATTGGCCACCAGAAGTTTCACTGATTCATAACTTCCATCTATTATTGATTTTAAATGGAATTTTTAAAAAAAAGAGAAGAAGAAGATTGTTTCCACTCATGCATCATACATACTTCCAGCTGCATAGTGTAAAGCTGTCTTTCCAAAACCATCGAAAAAGTTGACATCAACTCCGCTGGCAATAGATCTACTCAATGCTTTAATATCACCTTGACGAGCTGATTCACATAAAACTAATTCATTAGGGAAACCCCATGGCATAAATTGATTTTCAAGCTTTTGATCATATTCAACTTCAGTGCTCATTAAAATTTTAATACTGTCAGTGAAAATGAAAGAGAATGAAATAATTATGATGTGATTTATTGCAAAAACAAATCCACAAGTAAATGTAGAGCAGAAACACTAACTTTTGTCTTTATAATAATAACACAAAAACAAGTGTTAAGGCTCACATTATTAGTATTATTATTATATTCTTGGATTTCTTATCAGAGTACTTTTTTGTCTATCCTTTCTGACTGGTTATCTGATCTTCACTATGAAGCCATAGAAGACAACTGTTGATAAAAGTCTGCCGCCTACTAAAATCCTATTGGTGACACGGAAGGCAAGTCTCTGAACCATAAAGAAGCACTCGCTTGACACTAGTGTCGAAATTCCGAATTCCGTTCTTTATACTGAGTTCAGTAGATTTCTACACCGATTTCAGAGTAACGAAAGTCTGTCTAGCACCTTTTATTTGACATCCTCATCTGTATTACCACCTGTCAGTGAAATAATGCTGCCTAGATGATTGAAAGAAGTGACACTCTTCAAAAATTCCTCCTACTGATAATGATTAGTGCTTGTTGTTATTGCTATTGATTAAGTATCTTCACCACCTGTGTCCTCTTCATATTCACTTGAATTCTTATCTTTGCTGTTTTTTCTTCCAGCTTGTTATGATACTAGACGTAAATCATAGTAGAAGGTCGGATCATCTAGAGTATTCTTGTCGGTCCAACTTGTGATCGTCTTCCCGCTTTACAAGGCCTACTACATGATCCATTCCACCACAAACAGTAATATCATTGGAAATATTAGGTATCCTTTTCTTACTTCTATCTTTACAATATTAAAATTAGCAAATATGAGTGAGTGGAGCAAAAGTAATTAAACAAAAACTGTGGCAGTTCCTAGAACTTCTCTTCCTGGTTTACCTAAAAATGTATCAAACAGATGTTTACATGACCTTCACAGAGGGATATTTCAAGACACTTTAAATATTTATGATGTATTACATTAAGTAAAGTCACTGTCACATTTGAAGGACAACTGGCTAACAAACTGATGGACTGTAGTTTAGATTTGTATAACAGCGTCAGGTGAAGCTGGAACACTTTGAAACAACATGCATAAAAAGACAAAAGAAGCATAGCAGTGTCATAATAGGTACACCTGTATGTGAGAAAAAACAGTTTAATGAAAAAATTCGGAATACAGAAAATGAGTGAATATATTTATACCACTATGAATGATTTCTATCTACATCACGAACTGTCTTTTCCAACTTATCCTCAAACCTCCGCGTATCCAAACCCGGTATTATATTGCTATTATTGTTCCCTTAGGTGCAACATAGGGCTTCAAAAGCGCATTTCTATCTTATCATATTCTCTGCGATCCTCCCTAGTTGTTCCGGCGATTGTTCATAGTCTCCAACCTCCTCCATGTCACCCTTGGACACGCCCAACTAGTTTTTTCTCATTCGGGTTCCACCCGAGCGATGGTTCGTCGCGCGGCGTCACCCAACGATCTCCTCAGCGTGTGCACAATCCATCTCCATTTCTTCGTCATATTTGTTGAGCAATATGCTGCTGGCTAGTTTGTTCCCAGAGTTTCTTGCTGCTAATTCTTTTTAGACATTTGATCTTCGATATGAAACCATTGAAGGCAGCTGTTGATAGAAGTCTGCGAGCCGTTGGAAATCACCTTCGTGATGCACAGTCCAGTATCTGATCCACATAGAAGAAATGATTTGAAACTGTTGTTAAAAATCCAAATTTTGTTGTTTATGCTGATTGCAGAAGGCTTCCAAACATGAAATGATGTTTCCTAGGTATTCGAAGGAAATAACTTCTTTCACATTTCTCCCGTTGACAGTGACTGATGCTGGTTATTGTTTCTGCTGGTCGGTTATTTCCAACACTGGATAACTGCCACGAGCTTACATGTGCAATAACATTAGGTAACGACCTCATGGATTAGTACCGTGTTTCAATCTAACTGCAACTTACTCTTTGCCAGCCAAATCCTACTTCATTTATAACTTCTTATTGAGAAAGGTGGTAGTTAGGTGTGCATAGTGAAATCTAAGGTCAGAGTAACGATGTCTACATTGTATTTAGGCCAGTAATCAATTTTAGGCAACTGTAGTGCAGCTACAGAAAAGTTTAGCTGCTCCTCGAAGTATCCCACTTAAATATTCAGGCGCACTTCCTGAGGAATTGTTAAGGTTCATACTACTCAGAAATACAGAAATATGACGGCAGAAACAAACTTTACTGGACAAAGGTGGGGAACAAGAAGCAACTATTTTGTACTCTGTGTAGTAAAAACAAGTGTTTGTACTTAAAAATAATAAAAATTCCTATAAGTGCAGCAAAGAAATGTTGATTAGAACTGATTATATATGTGTCTGAAGCAGCGTCATCACAATAAATAGATTTTGTATCAATATATATATATATATATATATATATATATATATTCATGCGTTGGGGGGGGGGGTAATAAACAGACTTCCTAGGCCAAAGGTCTTGACAAAAAAACTGGCAGCAAAAGCCTCTGGAGTACTTCCACACTTCAGGTAAAAAAGTATCAAAACTTTAGGCACATATGTGCGTGAAAAGCTTAGTTGCTGGAATTCCCCTAATTAAGTCTCTACAAACACTTTGAAAACCTAAATAATCAAACACTTAAGCTTCTGCAGTCCCGAGCTTATGATAACTATACGCGTTGGTGGTACCGTTTTATAGTAAATGATTATACTTTTGTTCCCAAAAATGCCTTGTATGAACTGAAATAATGCTGGCAGTGATTAAATTTAGGGCGGCGCCCATGGGCGCGAAGGCAATGCGAAATTTTGCTAAGACAGTGCTGGTCAGTTCCGGATCGGGTCTCAGAGAGCTCGAATGACTCTGAGAAGTAAATCCAGTGGGTTATAAACTACTGCTGATAATGCCGAAAAAAGTACAGAGTGCGGAGTTATTGCCACTCATACTGAGAACAAGCACCGAGTTCTGTTATATCCATGAAGCTGAATAATTTCACTATCATTTAGGAATTTACTCACCAGAGAAAGCAGGCGTTAATTCAGAATTTGCGAGCTTTCCTCGGAAGTTACTACAGACTTGGGACTTTGTAATGAATCTGAAACGACCGGTTTAGATTTATTTAGATTTATTCGGAGGCATGAAAAATTCTGACAACAAACTCTTTGCATTAAATCAAATTAATTCGGAAGTTGTTTTGAACTGTACGCAAGCTGTTGTCATGGTACTAATAATTGGAGTCTAATATTCAATAGCGCAAACTTTGAAAATAAAGTGAATTTAACACGCTCTTGTTTAATTTTAGCTTTTGTTGTGTTATACGCTCCAAAAGCCTACAGATTAACTTTATATCAGTTTATTCTGATCGAAGTTAGTTTACGTTTCAGTTTTGAGTTTATTTAATTGCAGGAAGTTGTGCTCTTATAACTTAATAGTTATTTTTATATACATCCATTTTTGTGCACTTATTGGTATTTTTATTACTAATTTATAAAAGTTATATAAAGTCATACTGATTTTTTTCTCTAATTCTCTCTTAAAAGCATGCCGGTCAAAAGGAACCACTGTGGAATGATATATACAGTTTCCAGTGGATGAAGGAATGCTGTGTGATAACCGCAAGAGATGGTTCCATAGCATGTGCAAAAACCTAACTCCTGCAGCATAAAAGCGTTGCTGCAAATCTCTGACGAACTGGCTGTGCAATGGCTGCTGCAGTACGACTAAGTTTCGTATTACGGAAGCCATTGGAGCTCTCAGTGGGGCTCTAAAGCTGATGGACTGCAAAGGTCTCTCACTACAGAAGGACGGCAATTACTGCTCAGACACCGATGGCGTGATTGGCATCATCGACAAAACAGCACATGTTCCTGATACGTCTCTGTTAATGAGTGAGTGCTCTTAAGCACAGATGAGCACCCACCACATTGCAGACATCCATTCTGCCCTCCATGATAAAGAGTTAGCCCTCCAGTGACATTTATGGAAAGACTGGCACGAAGACGAGGTGTACTACCCAGTCAGAACTTCTCAACAGATTTGATAGGAATTCCCAATCAGCATTCTTATAGTCCCTATATTGATAGCGCGCCGGGGAATTTTAGGTGTGTATTTAGTCGTTAGTCGGAGGGGTAGCGTGCAGTACAATATGTTGTGATCACTGTTATCGAGTTTATTTCTCACCTCTATCGAGATGGGCTCTATTTTATGACAGGGGATTAAATCAAGAGTATTTTGGTTCCTTGTAGGGAGGCGCACGCACTGCTTCCATCCTCCTACGTCTATAGCTTATAGTAGCTCCTCATGGATTCTAGGTCCTGTACAGGTATCCCAGTTTACTCCAGGTAAGTTGAAATCTCCACATACTACTTTGTAGTCGAAGTCCAGCGTGGCTACATGCTCTAGTATTTCTCCAATAGTTATATCAGTCACTTCAGGGCTATTAGGGGGTCTGTATATATATATACATATTGTAGAGTAGGTTGCTTTTTAGATTATGTTTTATCATGGACCGGGAAAAAAACAGGACACCAGAACGCTGACTTGTACATTATACCGATGTAATGACAGCGTGATTTAAATAAGATAAAAGTAATGGAAGTCTAAATATCATTGCCATATCCGCTACTAAATGTAGCCCGAAGAAGATAAAATTCATTAGACATTTAGTTTGTGAAGACCCCTGATCTTTGGCAAACCATGCGGCGGCCGAAAAATATCAGATTATACGTTCACCGTAAGACAGTAAAAATAAGGAATTCACAGAAAATCATGGTTGTTACATGAGATTGAACAATGACACAACCTGGTTCCGCGCGCAGCAGCAACGAAGCTCCTTCCCTCTCCAGCTTCTTGCCTTTCACATCTGCCAACCAAACTCTGCCTCGTACCTGATCAACACATCCACATTGGGATACTGTGCTCCCATCTACTTTTCTCCACGCAATCGCCCTCCCGCAGTTGACATCTCTTGCGTGTAGTTATGGATCTGTATACACAAGAAAGGTCCTTGATCTTAAATACATTCCTTGAAAATAATATATTTTTTCACCTCGTTTCCTAGTGCTCTTTTAATTAGTCGTCGAAGACTTTCCGTGGCGTCAGTACTTCATCTGACGGTTCTGATGGCCTTTCTTACGTGGAGTCCATTCGTTGTTTCGGGAAGCAGGTCGATAATAATAGAGCCAATCGCCACAGCTGCGATCTAATTCTTTCGATTCCTCCAAGTTTCAAATAATTCCACTATAATTGGAGTCAGAACGTGTGTGCCGGAGAAAGCTATACAGGACGAACAACCAGACAACTTAACGCATTACTAACGAAACTCTCCTTCATGGTTCAGAAAGACAAAATAAGGCAGTATGCATTTTTATTCGGTTTCGTACCCATCTGACACTAAGTCAATTCGGTCTGGTACCTCACGAATACAGAGAGGATTTGAACTGATGATTCCTTTGTAAACGAATCAGGATACGCCCATATTGCTCTGGTTGGAATGGGTCATCCTGGTGGATTCGTAAAGGGACACACAGGTACCACGTAAAACGAAGAGAAAGAACCACTGTTAAGAAGAAAGAGTTGTTCCTGAAACTCCAATGCGATGGACACGTGGCTAGTAAAGTCCTACACCTTAGATTATCTACTGCCATAAAACGGTCTTATACGGCAGCCACCATTCGTTTGTCAGTCTCCAGTCAACCAATTATGATTGTCTATGCGAAAGACAAGCTACCTAGCTTTCATTTCATTTATGTATAATAGAAATAAAGAGAGGCCCAGTACATCTCCCATAGGTACGCCTCTCGACACTACTAACCCTTACCTTCTGCCTTCTAACCAGTAGGTAGTCCTCACACTATTCACATAAGTATTAGTCTATACAGAAGCTCTTTATTTTACTGATGAGGCATGGATGGTAAGCTACTGAACTGCAAACACAGATCGACAAAAACAGAGTTCGATGGTAGGTTTTTATCCCTTGCTTCTACCCAACCTCCCCTAGCTAACACTGAGTTTACTAGACTGGATCATCCTGGTGGTAATCCATGCTGTTCCTTCGCCAGTAAGCCATTTTTCTCCATATGACCTAACAACCAATCCTTTCAGATTGATCCATGTAGATGAAGATTGAACGTCAAGAGGTAGTCTGTGGCTGTCAGCCAGCTCTCATAAACTGTCAACGTCCAGCCCTTACTACGCTGGACCTCACACTGTCCCTCGAAGACTTTCAGAAACGCTTAGTATTAACCGACGCAAAAACCAAAACAGTGTTTGGCGACTCAAGAAGTGGGCACGACGAAAAATTTATCAAAATTATGCAATAACAACAAGGTACAAAAACAATGAATCCAAAAACACCAATTCATATGACATACCACACATATATACAAACAGTACAAATAACATCGCAGATCATGTCTTGACGGAATCCCTTTGAAGAATGGCAGAACTTACACCAGCACGCCTGCAACCCTTCTCAGGTTGACGATTGTAAGTTGAAGAATGTCCGGATACAATCAAGACTAACCAACAATTACATTAATTGGAACCCACTCAATTATTTAACACAAACATATGTACAATCAATACACCAAATGTTGTGGATTCTGGCATGACAAACTACCCTTCGAGAACTGTAGGACTTACAGTAGTACGCCTACATTCCTTCTCAGGTTGATGATACAAGTGGAAGACGTCCAGACACAAACAAAATTACCAACAGTCAGATGAAAAATGATATCTATTCAGTATATACAATATGAAAATATGTACAAAACAACACACGGAGCACGTTAGGCTGCTTATTGATGCGGTACCCTTTGAAGAACTGCAGTACTTACAGCAGTACGCCTACATTCCTTCTCAGGTTGACGCCCTTGGGCTGGAAAATCGTCGCAGAGTTCATTTGCTGACCTCCATCTATCATCTATATCCTCAACTCTGAACGGTAACACACCCATGTCATTGTATCGTGGAATGTAGATGACCAGCAAACATATGACGTATCTGACCAACCAAGCTTGGGTACAGAGTAATCTACACCAAAGAAAATATAATTCAAATATCAATTTGAAACTTGAATTGCCTTTATTCATGCAAGTCAATTTAACAATTACCCTCTCGTACACAGTTGGCTTATCCTCATTAAACTGACCAATAACTTTTCTCTTTCCAAACGAACTCATGCTAGCATAATCATTGCATAAGACACGTGAGTTCATGGACGTCCCTTTCATTGTGGATGACAACACCAACGAAGACTGAGTGACACAAGTTGATGAACTTAGCGGTGGATCAGAAGCTGTTGCTGCTGTTTGACTTTCAGAAAGTTGTCTAACTGCAATATTACCACCACTGCTGTCTTTTACCACTAGCTCCGGTTTAGCACTAGCATCTGATGATAGGTGGGCTGCACGCTGATCAATTACACTGACGGTCTCACAAATATCCATACTTTCTACAACTGCATCTGCATTCCATTCTACTTCACGTTCAAGTTGTACAGAACCTTTGTCCAACTCAGCAGTAGTAGGCATTCCCCTCATCTCATCATGATCAACCAAAGAGAAATCTGCACTATCATGATCATTATCACAAATGTTCACTTCACCGTCGTCTATCTGGTCGACTTCATCACTTTCAAACTCTTTAATAACAGAAGTAGACAACTTTGGTTCCTCCTCACAGATCCTTAAAGGTTTTATACCTTTACTCTGACTAGTAATGCCCTGTAAAGTTGTGGAGTCAGAACTGCCCTCTGAGACTGTAACTCTCTTCTCCTGCACAAACTGCGGTGTCGTCTGTGACACTATTCAACAATGGCTTACCAGTTGCAACTACAGGCTTCTTGACCACACCATTATCGTCACACAATTCGGAGTCAGACCTGGATTTCACGTTTAGCTTATCACTAAAAACCTTGGTCACTAATTCGCAGTTCACCTTTGTATGCACCTCTTGCAAACGTGTAAAAGACAGCCGTGTTTGTCTTTCATCTTGTAACTTATCTGTTGAGGATGTACTACGAAACCTGTTACACTGACTAGGTCTATATGCATTACTAGACATCATGGAGCCTTCTCGATATCCACCTATCTGAGTCCCTTACGTCATGAATGATTTCGGTTTGCTCTCAGACTGCTCTATTCTAGGGGTGAGATTCAATATACTGGCAAACTTGCTCATAGTTTGATTGACACTATCTTTTACCAGTTTCAGAATATCA